TACCATGTTCTTTGTCCTCAGACACTACAACGCAAGGAAAATTTAAATAATGCGTTTTGGTGAGTGACTATGTGCATATGTATCTAGGATTGCCAAATAAGAGCAAAAATAATGTTTCTTAGAGACAGAATACACCAAATAATTTTTGTAGCTCTCTGGACCTACAATGTATTTGCAACCCACTTTTGACACCTACTTAAGTTTACAACATACATACAATCTCCTATTGCAGAGACTGCTAGGTTACAGAGTCTGTTCAGACTTCTCCCAGACACTGCTTACTGTGCACCCTAAGAGATTGTCCTAACTGCCCCAATTCCACCCTCCTATTTATCAATGTCACTTACTGAAATGTAGAACATGGAGCAATGCTGTCTCATCCATCCACTCACAGAGGAGCTGTTGAGGGCAGGCGCAGAATGTAACGTTACTTTAGCATGTGTCCCCTACATTTGGCCATGTGGTAAAAACACAACAAAACAGGCATATACCCTGGATGGGGCTTTTAAGGTATGCAAACAAGGCCTTCAATTAAAACAACATATAAGCTCCAATATCTGAGTACTGATTCTGCAATTACCTAAATGCAGTTTGAGTCCCACAATGTCGTGATGAAATAGTACCAAAGTGGTAGTTGGAACATTGATGTTTCCTCAATGCATTTCACCATACATGGCTTCTTCAGGAGGATGTTACAACAAGTGTGGACCAATAGAAACAAGGACATGGACTTGAGCTATGGAGACTCCCCCCAGGGGGCTGCAGGAGGGGGAACGACCGTGCAAGGAATGTAAGGGCGGACGCATGTCCTATGCTGGCATGTCATAGGCTCCCACTCCCCCAGAAGGTGCACTGATAGCTATATAAAGGTTCTATTTAACTATCAAAAGTCTTATTCTGCGCTAAAACCTTTATCTTTCCTTTTAATTATTTTGTTTGCTATGTTGAAAAGCTAGCATACGGGAAACGTCAACAAGTTTCACCAGTCATTTTTTACATCTAAATTCTGAATGGTCCACATAATTAGGGATGGCAGGAGTGTGTGCATTGCCCAAAGCCATTGTGGTAGAAGGTGTTTTCTTGCTCTCAAGATTTTCACTCCAAGATCTGCAGTGCACAAATGATGTTGCAACACTACTGTGCTCTGCACAATTCATAAGGACAATAACTGTCCAGCACAAAACCAAACCCAATCATTTACCAAGAAGTCCACTATTGTACTTGCATATCCTATGGAGTTGCTCCTTCATTGCTTAACATTGCTATATCTTGCCATGTCACTGCCTCCTCTCTAGCAACTGAATTTTGGCAGTGATTTGAGCAGTGATGGAATGACTTTCCCTAGAAACGTTGCATTCCAGTGATCGTGCTGCTGGCGAACTATTGCCAGGAATACAATTACCCAACTGGCATGGCTCTAAATAGCCTATAGCTGCACCCTGTGTCATGAAAGCAGCAAGTACCCAGCCCAATGCAGGGCAATCCTGTAGGCATTGAGGTGTTTATACAGATTCAGAGACATACTAATAATTATGAAGTGAAAATGGTACATAATAGTTTCTCTGAAGTATGACATATCCCTGCATACAAGAAAAACGTGATTCCTTACTGACTTGCCCTTGTGAATCATTTCCTTCAAGAATGACGGCACCAGTTCCTAGACTGTATAACTTCTTGCTCTATTTTCCTTGTGTATTGGCTAATGCATGGGAAAAACACAGATGATGTCACCTTTATTTAAATCATTACAGAATACTATCAAAAAGCATGTCCTGTAGAAATTTAAAAGGGCACAGTACTGTACTTACTGTATATTATATTAGTATATATATTAAGGATTCTAAGATTTTCTATGTATATAATACTGTAAAGAAGTTCTAAGGGTGCTATACATTGTACGATTTCTGTTCGGAAATCATACACAAAAGGTCTTTCAAACAATAATAGAACAGTTGATGGTACACCGCCGATCTTCATTTTTGATATTGTGATCTAAATTTTTCAATCGGTCAGGTTGCAAAATCTTTCTCTGGCTGAACGAAAATCGATGCACATGCGCAACAGGAAATTATTTCTGTCTTTTGTCAAAAATTGGTGGGTTAGTATGGCTAAGGAACGATTTCCGAAATCAACATTTGACTATGCCTGATGGGGAAGTCTAGGCATAATCGAATGAGGGTTCGGGCCAGAAACGAAAAGTTTTGAGCGAAAACAATACAATGTAAGGCTACCTTTAGGCATTTTAATACAGAAATGCCCCTTTCAGACAGGTGGTCGTATCAGCTCCACCTGTTAGTTTTACAGACGGATCCGATAGGAAGCCAGATGTTATTCCCTGGGCTGCGTTTATATCTGATTCCCCATTGTGCTAACATGGGTCCGGTAAGTACATAGTTACATAGTATTTGAGGTTGAATAAAGACATAAGTCCATCAAGTCTAACCTTTAGCGTATGTGCATTTATGTTTGAGCAGGTGCGTGCGTGTGTTTTAATCCATGTGCGATTTTGCTCTTAGGCGTACCTGTACCCCTGTATGTTATGTTCTATGAGGAACGCGTCCAAGAGTTTCTTGAATGATTCCACACTCTTAGCTGCGATCACTTCCTGCGGCAGCGAGTTCCAGACCTTAACCGCTCTAACTGTGAAGAACCCCTTGCTCCCTGTGTGAAAAAAAAATAATTCCACCATTTTTTGGTTGTGCCCTCGGGTCTTTGTTACGGAGCTGACTGTGAACAGTTTGTTAATAATGTTGCTGTCGCCCTTGAATAGTTTATACAGGAGAATCATGCCCCCCCCTTACTCTCCTAACCTCCAAAGAGAACATATTTAATTTTAACAACCTCGTTTCATAGTTCAGGTCCTCGAACCCCTTAATAAGTTTGGTTGCCCTCCTCTGGACTTTTTCCAGCTCAAGGACATCCTTCCTGAGTATCGGTGACCAAAACTGGACCGCATACTCCAGATGTGGCCGAACCAGTGATCTGTAAAGTGGCAAAATGATAGACTTGTCCCTGCAATACATTCCCTTCTTAATGCATGACGGGACTCTACTTGCTTTGTTTACAGCAGTCTGGCACTGCGAGCTGTTCTTCAATCGGCGGGCTATAATGACCCCCAAATCCTTCTCCGTTTCCGACTTCCCTAGTGGCACCCCCATAAGTGTATAGTCTATTTGCCTATTTTTTTACTCCAAAGTGCATTACCTTACATTTATCGACATTGAACTTCATCTGCCATACAGTTGCCCACTGCCCGATATTATCCAGGTCCTCCTGTAATGTTATAATGTCTAAATCCGTGTAAAAGTAAAAATCTTTTCCTTCATCGTAAGATAGAGAAAAAAGCTAGACATACACGAATGTCACAATATTGACATCCCTTTCCGAACTGCTCTGATCTGCTCTGCTCTGCTGATCGGAAGTGACAGGCACCCGTGTGAAAGGGGCCTAAGATACAGTATTTAAAATTCCTGAAAAAAATTCTTATGTTGGTGATTTGGTGTATGGCAAGTGCGCATCACATGTGCGCCAAAAAATTAAAATGTTGTAACAACAATAGTTCATCATGTCCACTGTCTTTATCACAGTTCACGCATTCATTCTACACGTTGCCTGAAGTTGCTCTTTAAAGGTTCACTCCAGTCAAAACGTTAAGCTGAATCTTGGGATGCAAACAGGAGTCATCTGCTCAGGGATTCAGATTTTTGTATTCAGGCATTGCGGTTATGCACTAGTTCACCCCAATGACCTTTGTCTGTTATCTGCTGATCTGGGAACCTCTGATGGCTACCTGTTTATAATGCAGGCAAGAGATTTTTTTTATTTCACTTAAATTTGTTAGAGGGGATTGACTTTCCCTGACTTCATGGCCATACGCACTGGCATCCCATCATCCAATGACCCTGCATTAAATGCCAGTAAGGACACTGTCTAGAGACATGGCTCCTACTTTTTACCCTTTCACTGCTGGGCACTGCCTCCAATTTTTACCTTCAGGTGACCAAACCAGCTCTTCTATTTTTCACCTGTACATCACAAACTTGAAGGAACGCAAAAGAACCCAGGACCATTTCTGAAAGCTCAAAACCTACAGAATAAGGAAATGCCCCTGACTATTTTTTCTACCCCTGAGTCATTTTGAGAATGTCTATTAAAACATACACAAGCTAAAAAACGTTTCTACGGCATCTATTTAAAATCTTTGTAATGTAAACATATTTTTTGTATCTATGAATCCTTATTTGCGTAGGTATACATTATGGGGAATTTATCAAAACTGGAGCAGTTGCCCATCTCTTTAGTTTGCTCAGTTGAGATTTGCAAATGAGAGATAGAAGCTGATTGGTTGCAATGCTATTCTGCTCCAGATTTCGTCTGCTCCTGTTTTGATAAAGTCCCCCTTATGTGCGTATTGCTTAATTTTTTTTTAGATACAAAAATGTTTTAAATGTTTTCAAGTTTTACATGTTTCAAATAATTTATTTTATTTCAATTAATTAACTTTGTTAAATTAATTTGATCAAATAACGTTGACAAGTTCATTTAAAAAAACAAAAACCTTTAGATGTTTCCCCTGTGTGCCGAAGACAGAAATTGGGGCCTACTTAGTAGAACAGCACCCAGACTGGAAGAGGGAGGAGCAGCGCTCCATAACAGGCATGAGCTGACAAGAACCATACTGACAGGAGGAGAAAGCAGAGTGAACAGGAGGCTGTCTCATCGCTGTGCTGGTACTGTGGCTTTACTCATTCAGTTACAAGCTGGGGGCAAGAATAAAGCTATGGAAGCAAATCAAATGCACATGTACACAGTATGGAAAGCATTTAGTAATTGTAGGTCATTTTCTATAGTGCGTTCATATTACAGCATATGATACGATGCAACATGATGCAAAGACTTTTTAAAGAAAGTAATTAATTTTTATAAATCTATTTACTTTTACACTTAACACAGGAGCTATGGCAGAAGGAGGATGGCAACCCTACTCCTGATGTAAGAGTTCAGAATTCCAGTAAATGTGTGTAAGGTCCATTGGTATCAAGCTGCAAAACCTGTCTGTTTCCATATGTCCCATGACGCAGCACAGTCCCAGCTTCAACCCAGCTAGGGTGAGATTCCAATTCTTGTTGGCACTGAGATATGAACTGTGCATACAACTCCATGCCAAGCTCCTTGCCTGCATTTGAATGGTACTGCATGCAGCGGCCCTTTGCCTTTCCTCCAAGAGTTGCCTGAGGGACAATCAGAATGTTTCCTGGAAGTTCAATGATTGATACATGCTTCCCATTTTCCGTTTCACTCAATTTTATTTTCAGCACCGAGCTCACTGAAAAAGAGACATATCTTAAGGTTTACAAAAGAAAGAGAAAAAAAAAACACAAACATTTGTCCTACAACAAAAACTGACATGGTTCTAGGTCTTACGTACCAGAGGGAATCCCAGTTTTGCATTGGGCACGTGACTTGAAAGGTATTACCAATTTGTCCCTGACTCTGTCCACATATATGCCATGTGGGAGAATGTGCAATGTCACACGCGATCATGCATTGCATGTTGCAATGCCATTATTTCTTAATGGCACCCCAATGCACCGAGCCATCACACGTGCGTTGTATTGCACCACATGATAACCTATTACCGTGCGATGAATATGCAGCACATCAGTCAAGAAATTACTGCTTTAATAAGAGCCTAATGGCACAGGTGTTTTGCTGTTAGACAGGTTCTATGCTAACACACAAATGTCATAGTTAGGTAAATCAGATATCCTGGCAGTAGAGCAGGCCTCACTTGGTATATAAGGTGTGGAAGCTGACCTACATTATTGCCCAGTGATCTAAAAGGATCCTGCTCTTACCTATAATTACTTTACTCTTTCAGCAGCAAATAGATGTGCAGGACTGACCTGACTGCCTCTGGCATCTATGCTCATCACTGGGTACCTACACACAAATGTGGTCACATTGTGCAATTGTTCATTTTTAGCCTAGGGAAGGAAGTGGAGGAGAGGCTCTGCAGATACCTCCAGCATTGGTGATGGTGGCGGTGGGGGGACCATCGCATTCAGACATGGTTTTCCAACCCCAACAAACTCTGGCCAGAAGGTATCGGCTAATACCCCATACACATTAAAATGTATGCAAAGCCAAAATGTTTTTGTGTTTTGTGTGTTTTTAACAGCATATGGAATGGTTAAAACCTGTCAGTTTATTTTTTGTTGTCTACCTCCCATTGAGAAGATTTCCCTTCACTTCATGTCCAGGAAATGCAACAAGTGTTAGGTGTCTCCCTTGAAAGATTTCCTCTTTGTTCCTGTTCAGGTGAGATCTCAACATTTTGGATTTTCTCTCACTTTCAGTCCTTGTTAAAATGGTCATTTGGAAAAATAGGAAGTGTGAACCTTCCCAGCAGTTAGACAGTAATAAAAATAGAAACATGGAAAGTTTATTTAGAGCCATCTAGAATATTAAGCCGGTCAACAAAAAGCGCTTTCATTTTCTTTATTGGCACATAATGAAACTCCTCTTTACATACCTATTTTTGGAATTACATCTTTGGTTGATCCTTTAAAAAAGCAAAGATAGATAACCATACCCCTTTGTATCTGCAAAGAGAGAAGTAAATGCTGTTTAAACAATATTTAGCTATGCAGACTGCTTTCATTAAAAACAAAATTAGTTTTCATTTTTTGTTGTTTTAATCCGCAGCTTCAAAATAATTCATACAACAAATTCTGCAGAGTTTACACCATCACTCCCCTTTTATATATTGACATCAATGTGCATATATGTGTTTTATTGCTTGAATACACACATCTCCTAGGTCAATGGTCTTTTGACATCTTATAATATCCCAGTTGGCTGGCTAGCCTTGGGATATAAGAACAAGATTGGACATTATTGCAAATTAAGGGATGGAGAGGATAAACAACAGAATATTCTTGCTCTGCACCTATACACCTATAACCAAATAATAAAAGAGTAGGGAAAAATATTGTACTCTGCTTGCAGCCTCCACCACCCATTGTCCTTCATTGTTAGGATGCAGGCAAATCCCGCTACCTAGTGTCCTTTATTGCTAGAATGCAGGCAGCTCCCACCACCTAGTGTCCTCCGTTGCTAGAATGCAGGTAGGCTCTGCGGCCCTGTGTCCTTGATTGCTAGAACACAGGCAGCTTCCGCATTCTAGTTTTCTTCATTGCTAGAATGTAGGTAGCTTCTGCCACCTTGTGTCCTTTATTGCTAGAACGCAGACAGATCCTGCTGTCTAGTGTCCTTTATTGCAAGAACACAATCAGCTCCTACCATCTAGTGTCCATCATTGCTAGGACACAGGCAAATCCTACCATTTACTGTCTTTTATTGCTCGGATGCAGCCAGCTCCTACCGCCTAGTGTCCTTCATTGCTAGGATGCAGGCAGCTTTCTGCACCTAGTGTCCTTCATTGCTAGGATGCAGGCAGCTCCTGATGCCTTGTGTCCTTCGTTGCTAGGATGCAGGTAGCTCCATACCACCTAGTGTCCTAGCAAACAATAGAGCACATTTGTGCAGTATGCTGTCAACATGTGAACATTAGCTGTTTGTGTCCCCATTAGAGAAATTTCTAATCACTTGATATCCTGGAAATGAGTAGAAATCCCCTTAACAGGGACACCGCAATAAAGACCTGACCTATTACCCCTCTCGGTCAGGTCTTTATTGCGCTAAAACAAAGAGACATTTTGGCTGGAGTTGGGCTTAAATACATACAAAGGCTTCTTACCTCTGTCCATTCTGCCTCAGAGTCTTCATCTGGAGGTTTAACCTGCAGCTTGGCATGTAAACACTGTTGAAGGATGACACGGGCAGTTACCTCCCTGTCAACTGCTGCCATCTGCAACCAAACACAATGAAATTACAGAAAATTAATCAGCCTCAATTCACAAAGCTTTAACACAAGGATAAGGATCTTTATTTTAAGCATGTAACTGTCATTTCTGAAACTCAGCAGAAAAAACTGTCACCTTTTTTTTGAGGCTGGGTTCCCACCTAGGCGGTTTTCCGCGCTTTCGTACTCGCGGAAAACCGCACAAGCAGGGAAATGCCATTATTTTCAATGTGTATGGTTCCCATCTGTGCGGTTTTCCGTGAGTACGAACGCGCGGGAAACCGCCCTACGCCCAAAGAAGTACATGTACTTCTTTGGGGCGTTTTGGTCGGGCGGTTCCATTGGGATACAGCCAAGTATCCATAGTATCCCTCGGAAACGCGCGTTTGCCGCAAGTTTTTTTTACCGCGAATCGCGGTAAAAAAAAAAGCGCCGAAAACGTGCATATTCAATCCGGGAACCCAGCCTGAAGGTAAGTATTCTTAAAGCATATCTAAACCCAAAGCACAATGTAATATATTGCAGCTTACCAATTCTTAAAAGTGGCGGCTGCATTAATTTTCTTTTTAGGCTTTTTTTCCCCCTTTATTTTTACCTGGTGATCCGGCCATTAGCACACTTCCTTGGCTCAGTACTTTTTCATACTGGACACATCGCCCTCAGTGCAGCTCAGTAACTTAGTGCCCCGCTTCACTACTGCCCTCTGTCACACACACGTGCACTGGCCAAGGAGTTGACATGGTGGAACAGTGGAGCCTGATGTTGAGACACTAGTTTTCTTCAGGTCTGGCTCCTCTTAGCTTGACAGCGAGGTAATCCTGAGGAGTGAAGATGAGTAACTAGTTGCCCATCAGGTCCACCTTTCTTGTGATTGACAGCAGTGGACAGATTCCATAGCGCTATGAAATCCGCTAAGGAATCCACCCACTGCCATTCCTAATGGGGAACTGGTCTCTCATCATCAGTCATCAGGCTCCCCTCACTGTCAATGTTCAGCCAGGCATCATTGGTTGCTATGTTGCTGTGGGATACACAGCATCACTGGTTGCTAGGAGGCTATCAGCTATACAGCCTCCTAGCAGCCAGTGACGGTGTGCAGTCGAAAAGCATCCTAGCGACCAGTGACGATCAGGGGTAGCACACCCAAAGATGTGTACACATCTTTGCAGCCTGACTCTGAGCACTTTGGCCTCTCTCTGTATGCCAACAGAGACTTGCAGGGTTATTCACAGAAGGGTGAAAGGTTTGGAGATGGCCGGAGAAATGAACAATCTAGGGCAGAATACCTGATTTGGAAACATTCTCAAACTCAGCTCACTTTCCAAATTAGCTATGTTGTCCTAGATTTTTCACTTCTCCTGCCTTCTCCAAACTCTTCACCCTTTTGTGAATAACCCTGTTGGTTTTAATTACCTCCAGGTAAGTTAGTAATATCTCCTCTTCTTGCACCTCCTAGACCAGGGGTCTCAAACCTCCAGGCCCTCCAGCTGTGTTGGAACTACAAATCCCATGAGGCATTGCAAGATTCTCACAGCCATAGACATGACTCCCGAAGACAGATGCATCATGGGATTTGTAGTTTCACCACAGCTGGAGGGCCAGAGGTTTGAGACCCCTGTCCTAGACCTAACAAGCATTTAAGCCTTGCAGTGCAGGGGGAGTGAGCGGGATGCAATGAATCTTTTGTATTGCCTCTGGAATTGGGCTTGCCGACACTGTTTGGGTCGCAAGGTGGTGTGGCAATCAGAATTTTGAGCCCAGCCTCATCACTTCTGCCCAAAAACCAATGTTGTTTGCACCTTCCACTGATAAGCAGTAACAAGCTGGGAACAGCTGCATGTAGGCTGGGCAAATGGATCTATATTTTAGACCCCATTCACACTGAGCGACATGAGAAATCGTGCGATTTTCCACACGATTTCAAGCTGGGCGACATTGAGCTACATTGAGTGACAGTGCACATTTTGTTGCACTACGTAGGTCGACTTTTGGGAGGGACTTTGTTGCTGCTACGTTGGGCTGTTACTAATCAAAAGTCTTGATGTTACATCATTCGTTCCTTCCATATTGCTGTGCAAAAGTGATACTCTTCTGTAGCACAATGTCGTGTAATATCACCGGTAATGCACGACATTGAGCGACACCATTGAGTCTATTGAGGCCAAATCGCATGACATCCGCCGAAAAATAGGTCATGTTCAAGCTTGAGTGAAGAGCTACAGGCGACATTGAGCTATGGAGATGGGGTAGGAACTGCATGTTTATGGGCAACACACAGGCATTTCATTTGTCATATAATCTCATCAAACAACTGACCAGCTGTAATGGAATCCTGCTGCCCTAATATAAGTCAGTAGCTGGTGCTCTGTTCTATAAACAGAGGGGGGAATTTATCAAAACTGGAGCAAACAGAATCTGGAGCTGTAGCCCATAGTAACCAATCAGCTTCTCTCTTCGGTTTGTTCAGTTAAGATTTGAAAATGAAAGCGAGAAGCTGATTGGCTACTAATTGATAAATTCCCCCCATAGATTTTTGGCTACAACAAGCACACGTTTATATCACCAACACTCTATTATCACACAGCAGTCAGATCTTCTCCTGTCAGTGAAATCAATTATAGTCAATACAAATGTGTCTGGTGATCCTCTACTTGACCTCTATTTCAAATCATCATGAATGCAGACAGTGTGATGGTCCAGCTGTATACAACTCCCAGCACGTCCTGTCAATGAATCAGCTATGGCAGTTGCTACTCACCGTCCATGTATCCTTCCAGCTACTCCACTCTCCTCCTCCTGATTGGACAGACAAGACAGAGGCTTGGAACGCATACTTCCGCCATGTAACCGAATGGAACGCATGTCGGACTGAGGGCTCGTTGCTAAGAGACGGAAATGGCGGCTGTCAAAGGCCTCATCCAGGGGACCCGTGTTCTGAAGTCCCGGTCGTTTCTGCAACTGGGACAGTATGTTGCCTCCAGGGTGGCCTCCTTGTCCTCGGTAGGTAACTGGAGGTTATATTCCAGCAGCCTTGTAATGGCGCCCCAGAGCTGAGCACGTGGTTTAGAGAGGGTGAGATGTCAGCTGATCCTGAGTGTCAAGGACAGTCCCTGGGGTGGGAGACTTGTCCCTGGAAAAGTCTCCTTTTTCCTGTGTTGACCGATTGTACTATAACATGATTTGTATGTTGCATTGAGCTCTCATCAGAAGTTATGTTCAGCGAGCTTTTAATGTTGAAGAGCAACTAAAGGCAAAAGTTTTTTTAAAAATTATTATTATTTGGTTAGAGTGACAAGGTTTAGACCAAGGGTGGGCAACTCTGGTCCCTCAGCTGTTGTGGAACTACAAGTCCCATGAGGCATTGCAAGACTGACAGTTACAGGCATGACTCCCAGAGGCAGTCTATTGGACCCCTAATGTCACTTAGGGAGCCCCAAAAGAAGCTGATAAAGCAGAGATATGTTTTACCAGCTTCTTCTCTGGCTACAAAAGCTGGAGAGATGACAGGCTGAAGGTGGAAGTGATGTCGGGTCCAGAGATCAGAGGAAGGACCCATGATGATCTCCCTCCGATCTAAGTTCATAGAGCTGCTACGCTGGTCCCAGGCCTACATGGGGACTGCAGTGCCTGGGCTGGCTGGCAGCAGGCATCCGGTGGGGGCTCTGTAGCTATCCAAACACTAAGGCTGGGTTCACAACTGCACGACACCCGGGACATGCGGTCCTGTACAATGCAGGCAGCGATTGCCGATTGATTTCAATGGGGTGACATCCGTGCGTCATTCGCAAAAAAAAGGTACAAGTACCTTCTTTTTGTGATACACGACGTGTGTTCGGAAGCACAGGTGGAATTGTGGTGGGAAAACGTGCGATCCACCTGGGGTGCCATTAGAAAAGAATCGCACCCACAGCGCGATCAGTTCACACCTTGGCGACTCCTGACCGAGCAGTATCGTGCACGATTGCCGCGAGGTGAGGTGTCACCTAGCTGTGAACCGAGCCTTATATGTATAAAGCCATCGCTGGCTGTTTAAAATGCGGAGAGTTTTCCGCTTGTGCGCGAAAGGATGTTTTGTTTAAAAAGCGGACCCACTTTCAGTGTCCCATCCGGCCGTTTCATTACCACGGCCAGATGGGAAGGGGTAAAATTGTATTACCAGCTACAAACATTTTTTTTCAGGTTTGGACGTAGTGTTAAAGGTTCTTTGCTGTCTGTGATCCCACTGGGGAGCTTCATCCACTTGATTTGTAGCGGTGACTGTTGTCATAGACAACAGAAACAGGAAGTGAGGAGACATCCGTTCTTGTGGCGACGAAGTGGCTATTCATGTTGTGTCTCTAGGACAGGAAGTGAAGATAACTCATCCCAACATGACAGTAAAAGGATACTTTAACAGCACGGACATGGTCGGTGGTAAACATTGTGTCCAATAATACACACACTAACACCCAGAGATGTTTGGAGTGACCTAGAAATGTTCTTCATGGCTGTTGACACCTTTATTCACCAAAGTGGCATAATATTAGGGCTGCAACTAATGATTATTTTCATAGTCGATTAGTTGGCCGATTATTTTTTAGATTAATTGGATAAAAAAAGTTAAATAAATACCATCCTTAATTTTAAATAAAATACACAAATGCAGTGTTACAAACATAACGTTTCTTCAGAATAAAACTGCATGCACAATTTTTTGCAATCGGAACACACTCAGCATTGCGGTACTGTGATTTCCAGTGCAGGCGATCACACTGTGGGTAGGAGGCGCGTTTGGGATGCCATTGAAATGAATGGCACTGCAACGCACCCCCCGCAGCAGAATTTGTCAGGCTGAAACCGAAAATTACTTTTTTTTCCCCACCTTTTTATCTTTTTTTTTTTAAATAAATAACTGTGTTGTAAGTACATGGCGCTTGAACAGCTCCCGCCAGGGAAAGACAGCTGCCAGTGGCAAGATACCGCAGCTGGCAGCTGAATGTAAATCAGCAGGTAGTGGGGCTGGTGCA